TTTGATACACTGTCTTGGCACCGACTTCCGAAGCTGTTATGAAGAAATTATTTCATTACTTTTTTCTTTGAAGTCGGTTGGTATCCTTCATTAAAAATTGTTATAATTTTTAATGAAGTAATTTTTAAAGAATTAAAAATTATATATTATACAGGCTTAAAATACATATTATATATTTATGTATAAGCTTTATATTTATAAGGCACAAAGTTTGATCTTTAATCCTACTACTACGCGAAATAGTTTGTCATATGTGTGAATGTTCGTTTGTCTGTTCAATTATTCAGAATTTTGAACTGCGAGATAATCACTTAAATAATACAAATAGGTACGACGCTCGCGAAAAGTAATACGGTGGTTGCTAGAAGCACAATCTGAATATTTCATTTTATCATTTATCATTTAACTAGTTGTGCCCATAAATGCATATACACAAACATGTTGTGTATTAGGTAAAATTACTTGTAATTAATTTTTACCAACTTACATTTTATAAAATCTTTTAAAAAATAAATTCAGTTTATTTTTTTAAATACTACTAATGCTATTAAAAACATTACTGATATTCCCTTGAACCACTTCTAGTAAGCTTAAAATACTTGTGTTAGAAGTGGTTCACGACTGTAGTCGAATGGCGGATTCGAACCCACGACCTTTCGAAATCGCGATCCGCGCCCTGCTATTAGGCTACTGACACTATAAATAAAGAACCACTGCATAAATATAGATGAAAGTTCAGCTTAAAACATACGCAAACACTTTAATAATCAATAGCTGGATGAACAAAAGACAAGGATATAATAGAGATTTATATAATATATATTAGAGCCGTGGGTAGCTCAGATAGCGCTCGCTGTAAATTTATCTCACTATTTAACTCACAGTAAGCGAGCAAACCGGGTTCGATCCCCGCCGGCACCAATGAATTAGTTAATTGCAATTTTAAGTGCTGATTTACCATGTGCTCGGCGGTGAAGGAAGACATCGTGAGAAAACCGGCATGTCTGAAAAGTAAGAAAAAAAATATTTCGAAGACATGTGAAGTACGCAAACATTTGGGCGGCGCGGCGGACATTTTCTTGCCGTAAAACCCTCTCAGAAATGAGAGGAAGCCTGTGCCCAGCAGTGGGACGTATATAGGATGTAACTTTAATTTTTTATAATATATTATTAGGCGACAGATAAAAACTGAAAAATGAGTAGGGCAGCAGTATCTTCCTGATGACAACTCGAACTACCGCGGTTGTCAACCCGCCTACTACGTGTGGCGATTATAACAAAGTCCTAATTTAAAACACGATGGGAGGCCAATATTTAGCAGTAAACTTTGATAGGCTGTAATGATGATGATGAATATATTATTATAACAAAATTTTTACAACAGTCACTATTCTAACGTATGTCTAATCGTTTGGGCAGTCCGAAAATAGCGGCCTGCAGCTCTTTTTCTTCCGTTGTGTACGCGTCACGTGAAGCGCGTGCGAGATGCACTTTTAAACAGTAATGTACCTTACTATTTGTCAACCGATTTGAATGTAACAAACATTGTTAGCCCAAGCTTATGTCAATAAACCATTGAAAACGAAATCCAAATTCCATGTTATCCTGCGAGTAAGAATCGGCTAAAGAAGTATGCCAGCATAATCTGTTGGCATCCGACTATTCGAATAATTTTAGACTTTCATAAAAATGTCAAGACCAGCGTTGGAAAACGAAATATTTGTCATGCGCCTAGTAATGCTTTTTATTTACTAATTTACTTTTTTTTACTAGGTGGAACTAGAGTCCTTTCTCTTATGCTTAGGAGTTCGTCTGGGTAGGAACCACTCTGTTACTTCTTTCTGCCGCCAAATAGCATTGCGGGCACTGCTGTGTTCCGGACTGAAGTACATAGAGCCAGTATAATTATAGTTTGTGAGGCATCACAACTTAGTCCTCAGGTGTAGCCTTTTAAGTTGATTGCAGGTGTCCATGATCCAGTAACCATTTACCAACAAGTACTGTAAGCTCGTTCGTACTTTAATTTTCTAAAAATAAAAATGCGATGTACACCTTCAAGGCATGGTAATTTCAGACATCTATGACGTATGCGTTTTTTTAAAGAATTAGCTTGACGTTCGTTATATTGCCTGTCAAACGTAACGATTAAAACAAATCCTCCCTATAATGAGATATGTCTATGTCTAGCAGTGGGCTATTACACACTGACGATGAAGACGTTATAAAGAAGACGAAGGCAGTAACTAAACTTTATATGATATGATGTTGAATGAGTCGCAGGACTTCAATCCAGATTCAAATTGGGTTGTGTAAGATTTCTGTTGTCTTTGATAGTGCATCATATACTACCTCTGATATAATCAAAAAAGCATTACATTGGGCTCGGGTGTAAACTTATGGCATTATACATAGGTTAATTGCATAACTACCCTCCATTATATACACGCACGTAAATTTAACAGAAGTAATTTTATTTACTTAAAATTAAAATTATACGAATTTTGCTTCTAGCAAGAACGTGCCTACTATTGTATTCGAGTTTCATTCAGATGTACTGAACTAAATAATAAAGCAACATTTTGGCAGCTCTGACAAGTCTGGTCGCTATTCATTCATAAAGCCTATTCTCTATACCTTTAAATATAATTTGTTTACATATTTTATTTTCACAAATGTTTTAATGATAATATAGGAGAGTTTGTGGACGCTTTTGTAACTACTGTATGCACTTCCCCTCTTTATTTAATATTATACTTCAATTATTTTGAGTTACTGGCCTTTAGGCGGTAGAAATGAAACGAAGGCGAAGGTTCATGGTTGTATAAGTTGTAATAGATTTAAAGCAACTTTCGTGCAGCCTACTATGGGTGACTTACCTTCCGATAGGACTCGCCTAGAATTCCCATTATTGAGCACCGGAGTAGTTTATTGCGGGCTCGTATTGATAGTCAATCGTAAGGGTAGAGGCAGTACCTTAATAAAATCTTACATTTGTATTTTTGTTTGTTTAGCAGTGAAGTCTGTCCACTTAGAACTCTTCACGGATCTCACGAAGGAGGCATATCTCGCAGCCTTAAGTCGGTTTGTAGCTCGACGAGAAAAATCGCAGCACATTTATTCAGATAACGGTACCAACTTCGTAGGTGCCTGCAATGAACTATCTTCCTTTCTTAGGCACACGTCAGATCACATAACTTCAAACACCGCAGAACAAGGTATAGAATTTAAATTTATCCCAGCCTATTCTCCTCATTTTGGCGGACTGTGGGAAGCTGCCGTAAAGTCCGTCAAACATCATCTGAGACGCATTATGAGCCTCACTCACTTCACATTTGAAGACCTTTCAACTTGTCTAACTCAGATTGAAGCTGTCCTAAATTCCAGACCTCTTACACCCTTATCATTTGATCCCACTGATCTAACATATTTAACTCCTTCCCATTTTCTTATTGGACGGACAACTACCTCAGTTCCGTATCCACAAATCGAAGACAGGCATATCCACTCACTAGCTAGATTCGCGCGAGTGGAGAAGCTAAAACAACATTTTTGGAAGCGTTTTGTTAATGATTATATTCATCTCCTACAGCAAAAGAAGAAATGGCGGATCTGTAGCGGAGACCTGACTATAGGACAAATGGTTTTGGTGAAGGAAAACAATCTTCCCCCACTGCTATGGCTTCTGGGGCGCGTCACTATACTCATTCCGGGAAAGGATAGTGTTGCAAGAGTAGTTGAAGTCAAGACCAAGAAAGGGCATCTTCTACGAGCCTATAATCGCTTCGTTACATTACCAATTGAAGCGGACTAGTCCACTTCAACGCCAGGGAGCATGTTGTGTTTTATCGTAAATCGAAACGCAACAATGAGAAATAGCTCGGGCCAATCAAAAAGTTCGAATTTAAAATAACGGTCCTAGACTTCTTCAATACACAATATCATACTTATCTTCACGCACAATCCCTGACGGGGTAGCCAGAGAGAACAGATCGCCAAGTGTCACGATCCTTACAACCTCTTTCGCTTCTTTCAGATTCATTATCTTAATGTCACTATATCATAGTTTAACTGTACACAGTAATTCCCTTTTTATGTATATTTGTAATTATCTTTCAATATAGAAATCCTGTTTCATCCCTTAATGCTTGAATTATACGCAATTAATACAATTTAATTGGAGATTTGTCAAGATTTTTTATTTATTTTGGAAATTCGACTACATCAATTTATTATATACATCACCCAAGAGCTCCTGCCACATCTAGGATCAGGATCTTGGGCAAACACTATAATACTCAAAATTAAACTTTAATTAAAAGTAAAACAGACTTTAAACAACTAAAAAATAGCTTCTGACGATGGTGCAAAGGCGTGTATGAAGAATTAGAGCCTAGCTTCTGAACTATAAAACGGCACGTGAAAATTATTTTATTCTTTTCGGTTATTGGCAGTTGCTTTTTTTACCCTTCTGAGCGAACTAAGGAATTATAGTTGTAATACAAAATAAGTAATACTTAGGCGTCTAAGGCCTAGGTATTACTTGATACATTTATTTATTGTATGGTATTATATTAATATGATACATAAATAGAGTGGGCGTTACGGGTAGGCCTGGGTTTTATCGATATATTTTTTCACACTGTCTTATATCTATTATTAGTTCCGTGGACGTTCACTTCTGCTGTCAGCGCCAAAATGGCGAAAATCAAATCGCCTTATTATGTCACGGCGTATAACCAGTCCATATAAAGAGGTCTGTGTCTTACTATAATTGTATCCGAAAACCGGACAGTCATCCTTATTCTATAAAAAAAGTATGATGCTGTTTCATTTCACTGGATATGACATGAGCAATGTTTTTATTTCTCATATCAATAGCAAACGAATTTTTGCAAAATCACAATGTAATTCTTGTTAAACAGTGAAAGGTTATCAGCACGTAATATCCTCGAAATTTGGCATAAAGATAAAGAACTACGGAATTATGTCAAATAGCATACCTGATGTGGTGAGAAAGGCGGTCGCGAGTTAGGAGGCGGCGGATATCGTTGCGGATAGGAGCCGGGCGGGCCGTAGCCGCCGGGCGGCTGCTGTCCGCCAGCCGCGCCCGGCCCGCCGCCGTACGGAGGTCCGCCGTAGCCCCGCGGCGGCTGCCGATCAAAACATATTTGTTAATCATCATATTAATTACTACTGCTGCTTTAGAATATTAGAACATACAAGTGAACTTCAGCAATACTTATGATTAATTACGGTTAAAACTAAATAAATAAGAACACACAACATATGGCAAAACGATATTGTTGAATGAAGGAATGTCAATTTGTTAATTAAATTTAAAATTCTATATTGTGTTCTTTCATAGTTTAGTAGTTTGTATAAAATTTTTCAAACGGAATCGTGTCGTAGTATCAAACATTATCGTTTTCCTTGTTTAGATCTATTTTATATTTTATTTTATATTATATTTTAAAAAAAAACTTATTATTATTTGACGTTGTAGAAGTTGATGACATATAAAATTTAATGAAGGATTTGTACAATTAATTTTGATAAAAACAATTATAGATATTTTACATAACTTCATAAAATTATAATAGTTTGTTATTTTGTTTATATTAATCATGCGTTGATAACTATCGATCTGATAATGAGACAAAGGCCAATCTAACGACTCATTAACACTCAATAACCAGTTTTATTAATTTAATATCTTTTTGTTTTCTAATTCCTTTTTGAAACTTTCGCGCTCAAACTTTATTTTTATGTTAGAAATCATATTGTTACCAAATTACCTATACTATTAGTCATACTAAAATTATACTACGAAAACACACACATTTTTTATTTACGTACTTGGTGTATAATATTGCCCATAATAATAATCTAATATATAAAAATGTATGTTTGTTTGTTCGTATTTTATGCGCTGCCATTCTGTTCATCAGATTGCGCAAAAACTTTGTCAAATTAGTGCTTGCACTTGATCGAAGGTTGTAGGCATAATACAATTAAATATATATGGTAACGGAGTAGTAAGTAGTATATTAACGAAAAATTTATTTGAAAGTTATATCATACAACTTCAATGAATGTATTATCATTCCTAATTAAACAATATAACTCTTCCAAATTTAAAACGATATTTTCATAATTATTTCTTCTGTGAGAGCAACGCGTCGGGTACCAGTTAGTGATTATATAAGTAATATTTGTAAAAATACAATATACCAATAAATATCAATGCCCTGACACTTCACAATAATAAAATATTCCAACAAAGAACATACACTGGCAAAAGTACAGAAATAAAAGTGTCAACTATTACCTATTTCAAATAAAAAATACACCAATTAAATTTTATGTTCACCACAGTTCAATATTTTTGTTAATTAGTTTTGACGGTTCAGTGGCGCAGTGGATTAGCGATGAGGTCCAGCGCTAAGGGCCGCGGGTCGAATCCCGTACAGAACAAGTTTTTTTTTTGGCATGGCCTATAAATATTTGTTCCGGGTCTGGACGTTTGTCCTTGTAAAATTTATGAATGAAAACTATACGATACAGAAGAAAATCCAAGTTTGGAGGTAAAGATTTTTTTTAATATATAAATATATTTTTATATAATATACACTCTTATTAACTCAAATAACAAATTATATACGTATACATTCTGGTAAGATATCTGGCGAACTTTAAAACAAAAGTTTACTCTACTAGCTCATGAATTTAAATAAAATTATATTTAGTTTAGAAAAACTTAACTTCCATTGATCATAAGCTGTGATGCTCCTAGTGGGAAAACTAGGTCCTGAAATTATTGTTTTGTTATTTATTCTTAATACGTCTACAAAATTTTAAAATATTCAGAGGTTTGGAAGTGGAAACTAAATTATTAGTTACCCTTACACTCATATGTATGTAACATACGGGTATATACAGCAGGTCAAACAAATTAAAGCGTGTTAAAAGAATAAGTGCTGCCAGTCATTTCATAAAGTTACAGCCTGTATGCGTCCCACAGCTGAGCACAGGGCTCCCCCTCAATTCTGAGAGTTTTAGGGCAAAGAAGTGTCCGCCGCGCTGTCCAAATTGTTGTTGACGGAATTAACGTCTTCGAAATATTTTTATTTTATTTCTCAAACATGCCGGTTTGCTCTCGATGTTTTCCTTCACCATGCTCCAAGCACATGGTAAATCAGAATTTTTAATTGTAATTAAGAATTTCATTGGTGCCGTCGGGTATCAAACCAGGGTTGCTAGCGTACTGTGCAATTTACAGCGAGCCCCTGAGTTACTAGTCATTTCATAAACTAGATTTAAATGTCGCATTAAATATCAAGATTGCAAAACATAGTTGCTTCCAGTTTTTATTTTATTTTTATAGAATGACGAAGGGGCACAGTCCACACAATAGTAAGTGGATGGTTTGACTCACAGACACCTACATTTTACCCCGATTAAGAATCAAAACACAGGTGCGTTGTTATCCCTAGGACTAAGATGGAATCGTTTACAAAAATAATCTTCGGTTATCGACACTCACCATACGAAATACAGAAGCAATGTACATAAAAATACTATCCTAATTTGTAAAAATTGATGCACATTTTAATTTTAACAGATTCTTATTTATTTGTATAGAATAATAATAGAAATCCTTTTACAATGTCAGTTATAAGACATACTCTTACTGTAATATCAATTTTCAGCCCGATAACGCGTCTAAATAATTGACGGCCAAAGTAATACGCTACGCCAATAATGCCGCCCGTTTCAGCTTTCAGTTCTCATTTTGTTCTATGATGAAAATTCAATTACTCGCACGAAGCTCGCTCTGGGGCGGGCGAACGACGCCAGTCGTGTTCCCTTTGATTGAATGTTTTACATCTCCAAACTACGGCCTGCCACTGAAGTGTTTCCCGGGTACAGTTCCGATTAGGAGACATGAGGACTGTATTCGCCAATTAGACTTACATTTTTACGAACATTGGGATGTTTTATGGCTGATTCAATGATTTACGAGGGCGGTGTTGCAGGGTGGGTCGCGCGGAGGGCAGGCACAAGGGTTGCGCAGGGTACGGGCGGCGGGGGGCGTCGGCGCGCCATTGGCCGACACTGCATCGATCGCGCGACGAGCTCAAAGCGACCCGCCCGCGCCAGCCAGCCTCCACCTACGTTAATAAGTAATCATCCGACCCCGCGATACCTCAGCGAGTTTTCCGGACAGAGCTGGAACCACTGAGACAGGCTTCGCATCTCCAGTCGACTGGAACAAAGAGCCGCCGCATCAGGCGACATCCGTATTGATTTATGCAGTAATTGACCCGCGGGTAGGTGCGCAACCCACGCACACCTCCGCCCCGTACGCACCTACATCCCTTCGCACGCATTTGTATGTATGTCGAACAGAACAATGCATTCTTATCTATGTTTTGCGTAGATAAAACGATCCATTCAAGTATAAAAGGTTTTTAAATAAATTGGTAACATAATAAAATCCCTTTTCAGAACATTTGTTGGTAAATAAAAATCACGCACGAATTGAAAGTCAGCACCGCAGTGACCTATTTTTACCTCGACGTCGGGACCGCTTCAAGTGTCTCGTAAAAGTTCATTTGAAGATACGAGAGGGAGGCTTTTTGTTAGGTTTCAACTCGTCGGGGAGCGGGTCGGTCATTACGTAAATATCGCGAGTACCCAAGTCAAAAACAAACAATACCGTGCAGTTAAGCGACTGGGATGTTTTTCATAGATACAAAGAGAATGACAGCAAATTATAAAAGGATTTTACTGTGTGCATAAAAAGTGGTTTATCTATGTAAATGTTGTTTATTAAAAAGGATGACGCCAGCCCATGTTAATGGTATGATAGAATAATACGCTTGTAGGGGATAATAAATCAACTATGAACATAAGTCACTGGAATAAATTCAAGTATTTCCGCTACTAACAGTTACATAAAACTTAATAAGTTTGGGTGTATCGCGTCGTCGCGCACCATTCAAACTTCTTCATAATTATTTTTTTTTAAATCAACCATCACCCAGACGGCCTTTTACCGATCGGTTCACAACTAAAAGCGAGAAGGACGTCTTTACCTTCTTGATATGGGGTAATGCGTCTGACATTGAAATTATATTTTTATCTAAGAAGAGCTAGGTAGGTAAGGTAGGTCCGAAGGAATCCCTTAGAGAAAAATTTCAAGAAATAAATATATTAACTTTGGCCACTCAATTTATTTACGAACTCCCAAAGTGTCACTAAATTCCTTCATGAGGCAATGCGTACGCTTTTACAACAAAGTCCTAAAAATATGCAGGACCTAATATCAAAAAGTTTAAAATTTTTATTAAGCAGAAATTGTTTAGTAAGGGTTATTATACTACTAAAGAGTACACGATTGATAAAAACCCCTGGGAATGAGGTGATGGCTACCATACTGTTTCTAAATATTTTCATGCTAATTGTATAAAATCATCATCATTCATCATTACAGCCCTTCACAAGTTCACTGCTAAACAGGCCTCACCCAAGGAATGCCGCAAAGCACGGTCCGGAACCACCTGCATCCATTGACTTTCTGCGTGTCTTACCAGGTCGTCACTCCATCTAGTGGGGGGACGCCCTACACTTTGCTTGCCGGTACGAGGCTGCCATTCGAGAACCTTCCTCGGTTGTCGGTTCTTCGAGTTATATGGCCGGCCCATTGCCACTTCAGCTTACTAATCCTTTAGGCTATGTCGATTACTCTGGCTCGTTTTTAAGTATAACTTCACTTCTCCGTAATAAGTCAAATTATTTACCACCAACTCATCATATTATTCTCTTCGTTATCAACACCCGTCGTACGCCATAATGTTTGAATGCCGTAGCATTCAAACATTATTTTTTACTAAAAACTAATTTATGAGTAAAGTAGTCCTTTTTTTACCAATGTATTACACTCGTATAGAACTTGTTGACTTATTCGAAGTTTTGATGAAAACTTAGTAGTTTGCGCGAAAAAGGACCTGGCATAAAGTTTGATGGCACAGGAGAGTTCAAGAAGTGTTTTTGTTGTGTTCTTGTCATTAAGAGGTCATAAAAGATTTTTCGATAATATAAGATGAAATATAAACACCTCTCACGTATTCTACTAAAATTTACTTCA